GGGAGGAGGATCGGGGGTCTGTGCATCAGAATGAGGATTGGAGTGAACAGCGTGTGGGAGAAATGAGGGACAGGGGGTCGACGAGGTAAACCGGGGAGGGGGGGGCAGCTGACGTTGGTGAGCAGGGAGGGCAGAAGGGAGCGGGTCAGACGAAAGTCACTGAAAAGGAAGGGGAGGGGGGCGGGGGTACCCCCTCGTCCGTAGGAGAGGGGGGGGATATAAGGGGGGTGGTAGGGGAGAGATCAGGGGTGGGGGATGTGCAGGAGTCTCCGGAGGTGACCGTGAGATTGTCTTCAAGTTTAGTTGATACCTCGGCTCCCCCTCCCCCCTCTGAGGGCGGAGGTAAACTGAAGGGTGGGGGGCGATGTAGGAAGAAGCAGCTAACTCCAGGTCTGGAGAGAACCTCGCCCTCGACAGAGCCCATAGATCTGGAACAGGGGTCAGATGAGGGGTTTAATAATCAGGATGAAGAAGGATTGTTGTCACAAGCCAATTCTAAGGAGAAGGAATGGGAGCGATCCCGCTCCCCTAAAAACCGAGGGGTGACGGTGGAGGGGCGGGAGAGGAGTGGGGAGTCTGGGAGGAAGTGGATCTCCCCTGAACGTAAGCGGTTTGACGAGATGGTGGAGGAGGAAATGAGGGAGAAAGGAAAGGGAAAGGGTGTACAGGAGGAGGCGGCGGCTGATGAGATGGTGGAGGAGGAAATGAAGGAGAAAGGAAAGGTGGCAGAGAAAATAGGGGAGAAAAGGGTAAAGGACGATGCCTCCGATTCAGAAGAAATGGTGCAGGATTCTGAGGACAGGGAGGATTCCTCGATGATGGAGGAGGGGGGGGATTCGACAGATGGGGGAGAGGAGGAAATGGAGGATGAGGAGGGTATCAGTACAACAACACAGGGGTCGCTCAGCGCAATACTGGCAGCCGGAGACTGCCATGTGTGCCCGGTTATGTTGTGGTGGGCGGAGGGGGGAATCAAAATTGTAACTAGAGGGGGAGCTGAATTGTTGACGTACGAGGCGAGGTCCCTCCCCAGGAATGCAAACATTACCCAACAGGTTAGTCGGTGGGTGGACTCAAATTACCGGGTTAGGATTCTGCCAAAGGTATCAGTGGGAAGATTTTTTAGGTGCCCACCTCAAGGGAAGGAGTATGGATTGTTGATGTTTTTCGTTGCAGTTACTCCTAGGCGGGCGGGCTCGTTGAACCTGGTACATAGGGAGGCGACATGGACGATTTTTGACCAGGTCTTTGGTCCTCGGGCACGCCCAGCAGAGTTTAGAATTATATACGAATTTACGGCAACTGTGCTGGCTAGGATTAACACAATGTTGTCGAAGGAACAGAGGGTGGGCTCGGCAAATTTTCAGAAGGCTCTGGGATGGTGGAGAGTTGGGGAGGTGGGTTAGATGTTCACGGGTTTAGACGATAGTAGGATAGGAACTGTGTTACTTATGGAGTGCCTCAAGGTTTCGACGTGCTCCCTCACGACGGTAGGAAGTAATTAGTTTGTGTGTTCCGTGAAATTTTGGCTGCAAATTTTGAGTGCGATGTGATTGGTTTTGATTGTATATAGTTGTGTTATTTTTTCTTTTTGGGTTTTTGATTTTGTGGCCTTGGTAGACATGAACTGAGGGAATCTGATGGACCGACGATCTCACCGGACAAAGCTGAAAGTGCTCTCATGGAATGTTCAGGGGCTTTCGACACGATCACTCAATCCGAAGCGATGGGAGCTACAGCGCACGGTTCGTAAGCAGCAAGTGGACGTGATCTGCCTCCAGGAAACGAAGTTAGGGGAAGGGTTGTGTGTGCGCGACGCTCCTTGGTGGAAGGGGCCCCAGGTGTGGGCCCCGGCCCAGGGTCGAACAGACAGAGGAACAAGGGGGGGAGTGGCTATACTGATCTCCCCTAAATGTCGGGGCGAATTGGTGGATTGGTGTTGGGATGGACAGGGAAGATGGGCATGGGTGATCCTGCGATGGGGCCAGATCCGATGGTGTGTGGTCACGGTGTATGGACCGACAGATCCCCGGGAGCGCCGAGAGTTTTGGGGGTAGTTACGGTTGAGGCTCCCTGTCGCTGCGGGCTATGTGATTATGGGAGATTTCAATACGACTATCCAGACGGGGATGGACTCGATGGTGGAGCGGCCGGTGGCAGCAGATGCGGAAGTGCTGCAGTTGATGATGGCTGAGCTGGGCTGTGTGGACGTATATAGATCTGCACATTCGGAGGGACGGGACTTTACATGGTATGGTTCGGTGGGTAGGCGCAGCCGATTGGACATGATCTGGGTCTCCTATCAGATCTACCGGAATGGTAGTGAAATGGCTCTCCTCCCGACAGCGCTTTCAGACCATGTGAAAGTGATTGCAGCTTTCCCGGTAGGCGATACGGTGATGGGCCGTCCCCAGCCATCTATCCCAGCGTGGGTCTTTCAGAGCCCGGAGTACAAGCCACTTATTCGACAACATTGGGAGTCTTGGCTGCAAGCGCGCCCCCAGGGTCTGACGGACCTGCAATGGCGAACTCAAGGTAATGCGTTGCTTCGTGGGTGCCTGCAAGCCAGAGTGACGAACAATTATAGGGCTCATTTGGCCACAGGACAGGAGTTTGTAGATCGATTAGCAGCCCTAAATGGTGGCCCTAAGGATGGGCAGTCGGAGGAGGAATGGTGGGTGGAAAGACTGGAGGTTGTGAGAGAATGGAAGGAGTGGGAGGTTGTAGAAGCAGCACGGTGGGGGAGAAGGTCGAAAGTAGGATGGGCAGTGGTGGGGGAAAAAATGTCCAAGCGTTTCTTCAAGGAGTTGGGTAAGAAGCGAGGGATTGCCCTCATGACAGCTATGGATCACCCCTTTGACCAACAACTACCTAGACAGGAAGCAACGGTGGGCATTTTGTGTCGTGTCACGGACTTTTATGCTTATCTCTTTACAGAGGAAGAGGCCTGGTCAACCGAAGACATGACTACGATCCCTCAGGAGCATATCTGGAACCATATTGCGGTGGGCCTGGCCCCTGAGCAGGCGGCATCTCTGGATAGTGATGTCACGCAGGAGGAAGTATATAAGGCTATAGCTGAGCTACCACGATTGAAGGCTTCGGGGGTGGATGGGATCCCGATCGAAATGTACAAGGCAGCGCAACCCTTTTTTGTGCCTCTCCTTACTAAGGCCTTCAATGAGGTGCTGCAGCAGGAGCAACTCCCAATTGGATTCGCGGACGCCTATGTGGTATTGCTTTTTAAGAAAGGGACCAGAGAGGATATCAGGAATTGGCGACCGATTTCGATTCTGAATGCCACTTATAAACTGCTGGCCAAGATCCTTGCAAATCGGTTGAATACGGTCCTGCCGAGTATTATCAACCCCTCTCAGGCGGGGTTTGTGCCAGGGCGTCAGATAGTTTCCAATATTATGCTCGCTCGACAAGTCCTGCAGAACACGGAGATTCAGGGTCAGCCAATGGCCTTTGTGGTTATTGATCTTGAAAAGGCGTATGATCGAGTCAGATGGGAATTCCTGCTGCAGTGTCGTATTCGGCGGGGAGTGGGACCAAAGTTCTGCAGCTGGACCAAGCTTCTGTTGACCTGTGCACGGACATGCATGCAAGTGAATGGGGTGAGATCGGGGTACATTCAGCTGACGAGATCCGTGCGGCAGGGATGCCCGCTATCGCCAGCTTTGTATGTCATTTATATTGAGGCCCTACACGATGTGTTACGGGGGGATGATGAGTTGCAGGGCCTTCAGATCGACCAGAAGCTGGTGCTGAAATCTACGGCTTTTGCTGATGACACCGGTGCTATTATCCCCCCCACTACTCAGCAGTTGCGCTGTCTGCAGAGGGATCTGAACCTCTTTGCGCGGTACTCGGGCGCCAGAGTCCATTGGCAGAAATCGATGGCTATTCTCCCGAGGGATGGGACATTCCCAACCTGGCCGACGGAGACGAGTTGCGTTTTCTGGGGGTCATGGTCCGCCCGGATGAGGGGGGCGTCCTGCAGATGGAAGGATTGGTAGCAACAGCAATACTGCGGATGGGTCGCTGGGCAAAACGGACGCATTTAGGCGTGTTTGGCAAAGCCTTGGTGCTGAAGAATTCTGTCTTGTCCACAATGTGGTATGCGGGGGCTATCCACCTGCCGAAAGAGCGATTTTGAAGCTGTTGCGAGCTGCAGTACATAAGTACCTCTGGGCCGGGGATGTTGAAGCGGACTCGGCTATCTCGAGGGTGGCTTGGCTAAAGTTGATTCAGCCCAGAGGACAAGGTGGGTTGGGGATATTGGATTCGGGTCTGCAGATCGCCGCCCTACAGATGCGGAACCTGATATGGCTGCTGTTGGGAACAGCAGGACCGGTCTGGGAGGGTCTCTCGCTGCAGCATCTGGCCTTCGCCCTTAATATGACTGAGCAGATGGTTTTAGAAGCGCTGGTTAGCCCGACATTGATCCATCATATTCGGCAAGGCCAGGTTTGGTTTGGCCCACTCACACTATGGAAGAAGCTCCACCTATAGCAGACGCTCTCCGTAACGGCGGATGCAGTGTATAACTAGCTTCTGTTCGACAATCCCTGCGTCTGCAACGAGGAAGGGGACCCCTTCCCTTGGCAAGGGGCACCGGGAGCATTTGGGCGGCGGTGGGCGGAATGCGGGGTGTTCAAAATTGGGCACTTCAAGTTGTGGGATGAGGGGACCAGGGATTGGAAGACAGACGCGGTTATGGCCCGTCAGCTCCCCCATAAATTCCAGTGGCAACAGCGACAGCTTAGGGCAGCAGTGCCCACGCAGTGGGTAGAAGTGTTGAAAGCCAGTAAGTGGGGAGTGGGGGAATGGCTGAGGCAAAAGGGAGAGACGCGCCCGGCTCACGTGTATCAGATCTTGGAGGTGATGGAGGAGGAGGTGGAAAGCCGAGAATGGAAAGTGGACACTGGCTATGATGGATTGGGAACACCCATGAGGGCGGGGGGGAGAAGGCGATGGCGTGGAGTAGAAATGGAGACAGTCGTGGTGTGTGTCGAAGGGAAAGGAATGGTTCTGGAGAAGGCCAGGCCGTATCGGATCAGTTGAACAGGAAGGGAGCTCACTGACGACCCGAACGAATGGAGGTGGCCTAAGCAGAACCATAACCGCCGCAAAACACCGATCCACCAAGTCACCACGAAAATCATAAATGGGTCTCTCCTCCCACAGTGTAACATCCGTGAGGAACTAGTGAATAGATGGAGTAAGCGGGAATGGTTGCCGGATGTCTACCTGCTCAGATGGCGATTGGGGGTGTGGAAGGAGCAGTGTGCACTGTTGAAAGCGATGTCGAACCAAAAGCAGGCAGGCCTGTTGTGGCTTATCTATCACCTGGCAGTCCCGACTGCGCAGTGGCAGGCGGGCAAGAGCAACTATTTGGATGATCGTTGTGGGGCGGGATGTGGCCATGTGGAGACTATCCCGCATCTTTTTGTCAGATGCCCTGTTATGCAGCAGTTTTGGAAGTGGTGGGACATAACAATGGCGGCAACCACGCCTCTGAGTGTTTCGGAGGAGGATGACACATATATACTATTGGGAGCCGTGGCTCAGGTGGAAAGAAAGAACAAAAAAAGATTGTACGGTGGCTCAGGTGGAAAGAAAGAACAAAAAAAGATTTTACGCAACGGAGGTGATACGGGCCGCTGTGCTCTGGACAATATGGACTCTCCGAAATGAGCGATGCAGGCAAGCTAGAGAGATTACCCTTCTGGCCCTGCAGGCACGAGTTTTGGAGAACCTCAGAACAGCGATGTCGACTGAAGCCCTCCGGAGCAGGCGAGCTGCAGGCCACAGCTTGGCCAAATTTTAGGATGTTTGGGGAGCATATCCAGTCCTGGTCCAGCAAGATGGGGATGCGAATCTCTGGAAATATGGCCCGGTGCTGTGCTGTGTAACAGGGAACTGACGGACGGGAGGTAGGGAAGCTTAGA